TGATGCCAAGTGATAAACAGAGATGCTAGTATTTAACTTACAATGAAGCATTTTTCCAACTGGACCTTGCACATCGATTTTTGAGGCTCCATGAGAAGTCAAGTTCAGCTAGACTGAATGGGGATCTCTGGAACGAATTTAAGCTTCTTTTTGTGTTTTAGAAGGAAAATAAATGCAAAATAAAAATAAGAACAAACATGACTCTTGGAGATGAGTCATTCATTGTTTTACCCTTATACATATCTAGTGGTGACAGTGTCCAAATTTATGTTTTAGAAAGAGAATTGGTGGCACTAGCACAGATGGACCAAATAGAGAGACAGACGTGGTGACTACTTGGGTGTTTCTTGGAAGAGCCCAGGTGAGAGAAGTTTGTTGAGGCGCAAATCTGTAGCGACAATTAGACTAGAATGAAGGGGTAGTTTTGAGAGAAATTTTGAGATATAATTTAAAGGTTTATATCTGAAATGAGGTAGTATTGGAGTTAAAATTTACTCTTAGGTTTCTGCCTTGAATAACTAGACGGAAGATGATCCTACTCATCATAGGTAGAAAAATCAGATGAAAAGCAGTAGTTGGTTGGGAGAAGGAGTATTACATAGCTTTGGCTTAGGACTGTCTGCTGTATACATGGCATGAGCAATGCGATAAATAATGTGGGGTGGCATGGCCTTTGGATAGATGTGATATTATGACATAATTGATACTATGGCGTATACAGGGTGCTATAATAGGCGATTGATCTTATTTTAAGCTTAATTCCTGATCTCTCCTAAGTGAAACCCTATCTAGTCTTTATTTGCATTTCCATAATGAGAAATGTTTACAATAAAAGGCAAAACCCAGATGATTTAACAATGTCTGGTTAGCCCTTGTTGAATAACGAACCACTCCAAACTTAATGGCGTAAGAGAGCCACCATTTTATTATTCTGTGGTCACAAATTTGGACAACACATAGTGGGACTGGTTTGGAAATGTATTGGGTCTTAGAGAACGAAGGAAACCAATCCTGGCTATAAAAGGAGGACAATAGAAATTCATTTTTACTAATCATGATTATCCTGAAAGTTTGGCCCCAGTGTGACATAAGAGGAATACTTTGTTCTTATAACCTCTTGAAAATAAACAGAAAAGAAATTGTTGTATTTTATCTAGTAACAAAAATCTCTATTGTCTGAAATATTTCTTGTCACTCTTTATTTAAAAAGGCATGTAGTGTGAAGTCTCCCCATATTTGTCCCCCAGTTTCCCAGTTCTTTCCCACTCACCCCCAAATTAAAAACAAAACAAAACAAAGTCAGACAGCTGCTGCGTTGAGTTTTTGAAATCTTTCAGAGATTTTTTTGTAATAATATGCCATGTATGGACGTAGCCTAGTTTGTTTAATCAGTTCCCTAGTGATGGACATTGGGTTGTTTATGGTCTTTTGCTTTTATAAACAATACTCCAGCAAGTGGCCTTACACATTCATAATTTCCCATAAGTAGGATGCATTCTAGTAGCTAAAGTAACAAGGTGGTATAGGCATCTGTAATTTTGATAGCTACTGCTATATTCTGCTTCTTAGGTGAATGGGTTAAAAACCCAATTGTGAACCTACCAGCTGTGTGGAGAGTGCTTGTTTTCCCTTGGCTTTGCTATCAAGTATGGTATCAGATGTGTTTATTTAGTTAATCTGATAAGTAAAATATGGTAACTTATGCATTTTTTTCTTGCATTTTCCTTAACTAAGCTTTTGTTTGCTTGACGGTAATTTTTCTTTCCGTTTCTATGCATGTCTTCATAATCTTTGTCCATTTAAAAATTTAGCTTGTTGGGGCACCTGGGTGGCTCAGTCGATTGAGCATCTGGCTCTTGATTTCGGCTCAGGCTCAGGTCATGATCTCAGGGTCATGGGATTGAGCCCCGTGTTGGGCTCCACGCTCAGTGCGGAGTCTGCTGGAGGTTCTCTCTGTCCCTCTGCCCCTCCCCCCGCTCGCTCTCTCTCTCTCCCTCTCTCAAATAATTGGATTGTTGCTTTTTTTCTTACCTACTTTTAGGGGCTCTTTGTTATTCTTGTTTTTGCTTTAGAAGATGTTTTGGGGGATGGGGACTAACTGGGGATAGATGAAAGGAGTAAAAGCTAAGATACCAAAAACAATCAAAATACTAGATATTCAATAAGATCTTACCCTTAATCTATTGCTCATTCAGTTACGGATATTAGGCTCAGGTGGTTTTTTATATCTAAAAAATTGATCATAAAATCTAAAAGATTAAGGAAAAAGCCTAAATCACAAAGCAACATTAACATTCCTACCTATCTTTATTACTTTCTTATTGAAAAGACTGTAGCAGGATGCCTGGGTGGCTCAGTTGGTTAAGTGTCTGCCTTCGGCTGAAAGTCATGATCCCAGGGTCCTGGGATCGAGTCCCGCATCGGGCTCCTTGCTCAGTGGGGAGCCTGCTTCTCCCTCTCCCTCTGCTGCTCCCCCTGCTTGTGCATGCTCTCTCTCTCTCTGATAAAGAAATAAAAAAATCTTTTTTTAAAAAAAGAAGACTATAATAATTTCAGGAAAATGTTTTAAAGCTGTTTTAAAACTATTATCCATTCTAATTCTTGAACATCACATTTTGTTTTTATTTTTTCACAGTAAATCCTCATTTGTACCTATATTAAATAGTAGTATCACAGGACATATTCATGTTATCATAGATATTCTTCATAAGTTCTTATAGTCTGTCACTTAATAAATATGTATTTTTTAATGACTCCATCAAAAAAAAATGTCATATAATTTTTAAGCCAGTCCCTAATTTGGGCTACTCAGGTTGTTTCCATTTTTTTACTCTTAAAGTTATACTGCTGAGTATCTTCTTTCATTTATGTTTTTATTTTGTTGAATTATTTCCTTAGGTTCAATTCCTGGGTAGAGTTATAAGAATAAAGAGTATGAACATTTTTAAGGATCTTTATATGTGTTGCCATGTTGTTTCCAAGTTGTAAAAATACATAGTGTAACCAGCAGTGAATGAGGACGCTAGAACCACACATGCAGAATGTACTGGAACCACATCACCAGGACTGTCAGTTTTCAATTAAAGAAAAAAAAATTCTTCTTTAAGTAGATTTAAAAATCTATCATGGTTATATTAAATTTCATGTCTTTAACTAGTCACCAGGCTTTTTTTAAGGCCTCATGCATCAGTATGAATTATTCTAAAATATTTTGCCTCACACTTCAACTCTCTTAGGCACCTGATCACAGGGTGAGGGGTTGTGGACACTTTTTCCTGACCCCACTGTCTGTGAGGTTAAATACCCCTCTTCCCTCCTCTTCACCTGAATGTTCATTCTTACTCAGTTCATTCTTACGGGTGCACTCAGCCAACCACCTGCTTTTCTTATACATACACCTTCCCTCCTGCTACTGAGCCATTCTCTCTCTCTCTGATCTCTTTTTGACTATTTTAATTCATTCAGCTTTTAAACGCATCATTTGCAGAGGCTCATACTTCTGCATGGCTTCTGTTATACATTTATCCTTGTTGTTTTATTTATAAACAATTGTAGTAGGAGCACCTGGGCAGAAATGGATCCTCTCCTCTCTTACCTGCCTCAACCTCGAACCATCTGTTTCCAGAATCTACTCCCAACCATTCCACACTGCACTGTCACCCCTTTGTTATTGAAGACGTTCCTTGAGTCTGGAATTTTCTTTTACCTTCACATTTTGGATTTGTGTTAGTTTTCTTTTGCTGGGTAACAAATTAGCCTCATACCTAATGGATTAAAACAACCTAAATTTATTATGTCACATTTTCCTTGCATCAGAAGTCCAGGCGCAGATTGGCTGGGTCCCCTGCTCAGGGTCTTCATAGGTGGAGATCAAGGGGTCAGCAGGGCGATGTGCTCTTCTGGAGTTCAGGGTCCTCTTCTAAGCTCATTCACACTGTTGGGAGGATTCATTTCCTTAAGGTTGTAGGAGTGAGGGTTCCATTTCTTGCTGACCTCCAGGACCTCCCCCAGCTTCTAAAGGCCTCCCTCAGGTCCTAGCCACATGGCCTTCTCATTTCTGTGAGCTGGTTTGCTCAGATGGACCTGCATATAAAGTAACCAAATCACAGGGGTGAAATCCCATCCCGTTCCTGGAGCCACCTACACTCAAAGGGAGGGATTTACACAGGGCATGCATGTCGGGACTAAAATCTTGAGGCCCTTTGCAGCCTGCCCAGGATCCTAATTATCTTTAGGAAAAATTATATTCCTCTCATGAGCCCTTTCTGTAAGCTTTTCCAGTAGTATGCGTTGCTCCCTTGCCTTCTTCACACAGGGCTTTATGTCTTTGGTCTTACTCTGCTTCAGGTAGGTGAAATAAACCCTTCCAAGTTCATGGCTTACCTTTGGAGTGAATGGTAGTAGATAAGCATTTTACCTTGGCTTTCTTGCTCAACACAGCTTACCTTTGGAGTGAATGGTAGTAGATAAGCATTTTACCTTGGCTTTCTTGCTCTCCGTGTTTTATTGAGGTAACTCTTACTAAGGGTGAAGGTTGTTTTAATGAAATTGAGGGTTCTTTCTGAATATTAACAGTCCACTCTGGCATGTTTTGAACACACCTGCCTGTCTAGTAAGCCATGTAGGGACAAGAGACAATCTTTTCTCTCTCCTCTGTAACCTGCACATAGTAGGCTAAATGTTTGAATCAGGGCAAACAAGGTTTACTCAGAGGCAGGAACCAGGGCTTTAAAGAGCCTGGAATATAATTATAAATGAAAGGCAATATTAGAGACAGTGTGACTCGAGTGCTTCAGTGAAGGAAGTGAGTGAGGAATGTGGGAAGCGTGAGAAACGTTAAGACAGGGACCCTCATGGATGTCTCCACAGCTCCCCACGCCCCCCCCAGTGCCTCACCACTAGTAGGCGCTCAACCAGTAGTACTGGTTACTTATCAGCAAGTAGCATTCACCTGTGAAGTCTTTATATTTTGTAAATCAGTTTTGTTTTCCTAATTGTAGCTGGTGCTCAAGATCGGATCGGTTGGGCCTTTGGCCTAGGATTGGAAAGACTGGCCATGATCCTCTATGACATCCCTGACATCCGCCTCTTCTGGAGTGAGGATGAGCGTTTCCTGAAGCAGTTCCGCGTGTCAGATATCAACCAGAACGTGAAATTTCAGGTAGAAGGACTTGAAGAATCAAATAACAATAATAATGATAATAATAATAATAATGGTTTTTAAGAATTGAAGGGTCATATACTTGAAAAGAAACTTGTGGAATTTAAATATAATGTGTATTTGAAAGAAGCTTTTTTTTTTTTTTTTTAAGATTTTTGTATTTATTTGAGAGAGAGAGCATGAGCAAGAGAACAGGAGAGAACATGACCAGCGGGTAGGGATCAAGGGAGAGGAAGAAGCAGGCTCCCCGCTGAGCAGGGAGCCCGATGCGGGGCTCTGTCCCAGGACCCCGGGATCATGACCTGAGCCGAAGGCAGACGTTTAACTGACTGAGCCACCCAGGCATTCCTTGGAAAGAAGTTTTAAGTAGAGGCCCATAAAGACACAGGAGTTCATAAACAATCAGAAATTGTATGCAGAAAAATAAGAGATTTATCAAGCTTTTAGTCTGAGCAAAGAACTAACTTTGGGCTTTGTTAATGACCATTTTATCATTATGAAATAGCCATCTTAATCACCGATAATACTTTTAAAGTTTAGTTTTTCTGGTACTAATGTAGACACACTGGCTTTCTTATGATTAGTGTTTGCAGTGTGCGTCCTTTTCCTCATTTTATTTGCACTTTAGGTCCTTATATTAAGTGTGCCGCTTGTAAACTGCATGGAGTTGGGTCTTTTTATTTAAGTCCGGATTTCACTGGAGTCTTGAATACTTCTTACGGTTACTATAATTACCTGGGAGATTCTTGGGCTTAATTCTGTCATTTTTTATTTCTTCCCCATTTCCCCCTTCTCTTCTTTGGTTCTTCATTTGGAAACTGAGGTTATGTGTTTTTTGGTTTGTTTGTTCTTTTATTCCATTTTATTACCCCTGTTCCTGTTCAGTCTCACTATTTTGTATTTTTTTTAAAGATTTATTTATTTGTTATTTTAGAGAGAGAGCGAACATGAGCTCTCCGGACCCTGAGCTGAAATCAAAAGTCGGTCACTCAACCGACTGAGCCACCTAGGCACCTCTCCATTTTGTATTTTTAAGTAGCTATTCTAGATTACAACATGTGTAATTAACCCCTCACCCTTTACCATGGTGACTGTTACACAACTTCCTGAGACATTTAACATCCTTCAGCAGTGTAGTTTTGTTTACTCCTCTTGAATTTAATATTACTGTTGTTATTTTATTTCTCTGTGTATTATAGTCCCATAGTATATCACTCTTTTTGCTTCAAATAGCCAGTTGTCTTTTTAAAGATACTTAAAGCTATGTTGTTTTATATCTCCCTTGGTATTTACCCCACTGATCATCATTCCTTTCTGCCAATCTTGGTTTTTCTCTGTGATCATTTCCCTTTGGTCTGGAGAACTTCCTTTAATATTTTCCTGTAGTGCAGCATGAATGTTCACAGTTTGCTTGTCTGGAAATGCCTTTTTTTCACCCTTTTTAGGAGTATTTTCTACGAATATAGGTATCTAGGTTGCCAGTTTGTGTACACATGTGCTCGTATGTATGGGCGCATGTGGGTGTGTGTGCATGTGTGTGTGTATATTTGTGTGAATGAATGTGTGCGTTCCTTTCAGCTCTTGAAACATGTCATTCCATTGCCTTTATCTTTGTACTCTGGTTTTCAGTGGTTTGACCTATGTGTGATTTTCTGTCTATTTTCCTGCTTGGGCTTTCACTGGGTTGGATTAATGTCCTTCAACCACCCTTGAAACCCTCATCTAATATCTCTTCCAACAATTCTACTCTATTCTTTCTTTTTCTTTTCCGGCCGTAACTGCATGTATGTCAGACCATTTGAAATTATGCCATAGTATTCTGATTCTCAGCGTGTGTGTTTTATTACCGTTTTTTTTTTTTTAGCTCAGTGCTTTATTTTGGATATTTTTTGTTCTCTTATCTTTGGGTTTACTAACCTTTTCTATTTTGTCCATTGAACTATTAAGCCCCTCCAATAAATTTGTATTGTACTTATCAGTTCTACAATTTCTATTTGCTTCCCTTTTAGAGTTTTTATTACTCTGGTGAATTCTTCATCTTTTCGCCCATTTTGTACATTCTCCCTTAAATTCTTTAGCATCTTCATAATAGTTGTTTTTAAGTCCTGTCTGTAAATTCCAACCATTTTGTTATCTATTCTCCTTTTATTCTTTTTTTCTTCTTTATTATGGGTCACATTTTTCCTGCTTTTCCACTTACCTCACTTTTATATTGTATATAAAAGAACAAAGAAGCTGTAGTAGGTAATATCTGTCCTCAGAAAGCCTTGTCCTTTGCCCTGTCAGGCAGCTAAGGTGACTAGGCAAGATCTCTTTGTTCTAATCAGGAGTCGAACTGGATTTCATATCTGATTTCCCGTTGGTGGTGAGATCTGCCCCGCATCAGAGTCTGGGATCTCTGCATGTGAGATTACATCTCTCTCCTTTCCACCCAGTTGCCAGCTTCTTCACCACCAATGCTTGCTTGCCAGGCAAAAGCATGATGAAGGAGCACTGACTGGCCGTGGGGGCTCGCCGTTTCTCCACCTCCCAGTCTGCCATACTAGCTGATGTTTGGCTGATCAAAGTTGGGCTCCTGTCTCCTTCTTGCAGCCAGGTTTCTGCGCCAAGAGCAGGCTAGCTCTTCTGCCTACTCATGGCTGGGGTCTCATCTCCCTCTGAAATTCTGCTCAATTAGGATTATGTCCAGATCTCCTCAGTGTCTTGCACGACAAATAAGATTTCTAAATTTATTGTGTTCTCATCTGTGGGACCAGTGGTTTTCTGTGACTTTTTGTGTTCTAACCAAAAGTGGAAAAATCTCCTACAACTTATTCACATTTTTAGTTTCACCTTTAGTGGCCTTTAAAAAAAATCCTTTTTTTTTTTTCAAGTAAAATGTTTATTTTTGTTCTAGCACCAGGTCCTTCTAGGTTAATTTAGAATAAAGCTCCATCTAAATGATCAACTGTAAAAACCTGACTAAGGATGTAAGTCTTTCTCATTCACCTTTTCATTTTGTTCAGTCATTTATTTAATTGGCAAACACTGATGGAACACCAACCAACATTGTACAGAGCAGGGCGCTCAATGCTGGCGGGACATTCACAGATGACTGACACAGTTACTGCCACAAGTCAGTGGCTCAAGTCCAATCTTAAGTGCACTGTAACTGTCACCTCTTAGGAAACACAAAGATCCCCAGGAAGAAAGACATGTCATTTTTTGTCATTTCTTCTGCCTTCCAATTTCAAAATCAGTGCATGCATACTTATACTATAATGTAATTTAAATGGCTCTCTTTGTGTAATAAACTTAACTTCTGATGGAGCAGTTAGTATTTGATCACTGAAAAAATATCTGTCTATAAAATTCTTTGTAAATGACAGATCACAGAGAGCTGTTTTCCGATTATTCACCCATATTTAGTATTTATTGATTATATTCTACGTTAGCTCCCTATTGCTGGCATAGCAAGTTACCACAAACCTAGTGGCTTACAACATCCTTTATTATTTTATAGTTCCAGAGGTCAGAACTATAAAATCAGTCTGGGCTAAAGCAAAGGTGGCAGCGGGGCTGATTCCTTCTGGTGGCTCAAGGGGAGAATCTGTTTTCTTGCCTGTGAGCTTTTGTCGGGCTGTTCTCATTCTCAGATCATGGCTTCCCCTCACACTGCCTTTTCCCCTCTCCTTCCCTCTGTGGTCACCTCGCCTACTCTGAATTTTTGTCTCCCTCTCACAAGAAAAGGACCCTTGTGATGACGTGAACCCACGAAGATGATTCAAGATAATCTCCACATCCCAAGATCCTTTTCTTTTCTTTTTTTTTAAATTTTTTTTATTATTATGTTATGTTAATCACCATACATTACATCATTAGTTTTTCATGTAGTATTCCCTGATTCATTGTTTGCATATAACACCCAGTGCTCCATGCAAAACATGCCCTCTTTGATACCCATCACCAGGCTAACCCATCCTCCCACCCCCCTCCCCTCTAGAACCCTCAGTTTGGTTTTCAGAGTCCATCGTCTCCCATGGTTCATCTCCCCCTCTGATTTCCCCCCCTTCATTCTTCCCCTCCTGCTATCTTTTTTTTTTTTTTATATATAATATATTATTTGTTTTAGAGGTACAGGTCTGTGATTCAACAGTCTTGCACAATTCACAGCGCTCACCATAGCACATACCCTGCCCAATGTCTATCACCCAGCCACCCCATCCCTCCCACCCCCCACCACTCCAACAAGCCTCAGTTTGTTTCCTGAGATTAAGAATTCCTCGTATCAGTGAGGTCATATGATACATGTCTTTCTCTGATTGACTTATTTCGCTCAGCGTAACACCCTCCAGTTCCATCCATGTTGTTGCAAATGGCAAGATTTCATTCCTTTTGATGGCTGCATAATATTCCATCGTATATATGTACCACATCTTCTTTATCCATTCATCTGTCGATGGACATCTTGGCTCTTTCCACAGTTTGGCTATTGTGGACATAGCTGCTATAAACATCGGGGTGCACGTACCCCTTCGGATCCCTACATTTGTATCTTTGGGTTAAATACCCAGTAGTGCAATTGCTGGATTGTATGGTAGCTCTATTTTCAACTTTTTGTGGAACCTCCATACTGTTTCCCAGAGTGGCTGCACCAGCTTGCATTCCCACCAACAGTGTAGGAGGGTTCCCCTTTCTCCACATCCCCGCCAACATCTGTCATTTCCTGACTTGTTAATTTTAGCCATTCTGACTGGTGTGAGGTGATATCTCATTGAGGTTTTGATTTGGATTTCCCTGATGCCGAGCGATGTTGAGCACTTTTTCACGTGTCTGTTGGCCATTTGGATGTCTTCTTTGGAAAAATGTCTGTTCATGTCTTCTGCCCATTTCTCTCTTTTTTTAAATTTTTTATTGTTATGTTAATCACCATACATTACATCATTAGTTTTTGATGTAGTGTTCCATGATTCATTGTGCATAACACCCAGTGCTCCACGCAGAACGTGCCCTCTTTAATA